TGATGGTGGTGGTGGTGGTGGTGGTGGTGGTGGTGGTGGTGATGATGATGATGATGCTGGTGGTGATGATGCTGATGCTGCTGATGATGCGGATGATCATGCTGATGAGGAGGAGGACGATGATGATGATGTGGATGGTGATGGCGATGCTGATTATGGTGATGATGATGGTGGTGTTGTTTGTTATGCTGATGCATTTGACGACGATGATGATGCTGCTGCTCATGATGATGCTGCTGATGATGGTGTTGCCGCTGATGACGGCGAAGATGCTGATGATGCTGACGATAACGATGCTGATGATGACGCGGATGACGACGATGATGATGACGGTGATGATGATGGTGCTGGTGATGAAACAGATGATGATGATGATGATGATGATGATGATGATGCTGATGCTGATGATGATGATGATGATGCTGATGATGATGGTGATGGTGATGGTGATGATGGTGATGATGATGATGATGATGATGATGATGATGATGATGATGCTGATGATGACGATGATGATGATGATGATGATGATGATGGTGATGATGATGATGATGATGATGGTGGTGGTGGTGATGATGCTGATGATGATAATGAATATGCTGTTGATGATGATGAGGATGATGCTGATGATGATGCTGATGACGAGGAGGAGGAGGATGAGGAGGAGGAGGAGGAGGAGGAGAGACCCACCATCCATGTGGCAAGCTTTGAGGACGAACTTGCGCGGCGCTGGAGCGAGAGCCCCATATGCTGAAGGCCACAACTCCTTATCCTTGAGGCTGCTGTGCATTTTGGAGACGAGCGAAATGTGCGCGGCGCCAGGGCAATATCCCCACTCTGACGCTCGCCCCAGCCTTGGCGCTGGAGCAAACTTTGAAAACGAGCGTGCGCGGCGCTGATGCGAGAGCCACATTTTGACTCCCCCACTCCATCCTTGAAGCAGTAACTAATTTCAAGCTTCAGTATACATACATGGTGTGGAAGTCTCACCCATCTCTCCCAGCCCGTTCTACCGATATGCCTGGGGGGGGTGACAAGGAGGAGTTGTTTATAATGAAACGGATTGAGTTGCATGGAGACCGAGTGGGCGAGGAGGAGGATGAGGACGAGGAGGAGAGGATGGATCTGTTCGTATATCCGCCTGCTCTTCTCGGGTATTGGTGATTGTAGCGCCCTTCGTGCCATCCGTCTGCCCCGTCGCAGTCGTCGTCGTCGTCGTCGTCGTCCTCCTCCTCCTCCTCCTCGTGGTGACGCGCTTGTTCTGATTGTTGCAATCTTCGTCATCGTCGCACTTGTCGTCATCCTTGTCCTCGTCGTTCTTGTCTTCCTCGTAGTCGTCGTTCTTGTCTTTGTCCTCGTCCTCCTCGTCGGTGTCGCCGCCGCCGTCGCAGCCGCCGCGCCGTCACCGTCGTCGTCGTCGTCGTCGTCGTCGTCGTCGTCGTCGTCGTCGTCGTCGTCGTCGTCGTTGTCGTTGTCGTTGTCGTCGTCGTCGTTGTCGTCGTCGTCGTCGTTGTCGTCGTCGTCCTCGTCGTCGTCGTCGTCGTCGTCGCCCGAGGAGGGAGGAGGGATGGAAAGAACGGGAGTAGTTGGGAAGGGTGCGGAGGAGGCGAGGGGGAAAAGAGGAACGGGAGGGGTTGGGATGAGTGCAGAGGAGAGCGGAGAAGCTGAGAGGGTTGAGGAAAGGGATGAGCTCGGAAGGGTGGGGAGGAGTGTGAGTGCGGGAGCGGGGAGGAGTTAGGAGAAGATGCGCGGAGTGCGGATGTGATGGGGAAGAGGATGAGAGGATGATGAAGGAGTTGACGAGGAGTGTGGGGGAGTGGGGAGACGTGGGTCTGGGGGCAGAACGGGATTAGCTCGGAGGAGTACTAGCGAGTGTGGAGGAGCTGGGAGGAATTGGGATGAGTTGCGAGGAATGTGGAGGTGGTGGGAAAGAGGGGATGTGGAATGAGTCGCGAGGAGCGCGGAGGAGAGGAGAGAAGTGGGGAGGGGGGAGGTACGGAAGGAGTTGTGAGGGGTATCAGGGAGTGTGAAAGAGCGGAGATGAATTGTGAGGAGTTGCGAGGAGCGCAGCGGAGGATGTGAACGGAGGTGCGAACCAGTTCTGGGACATATGCTCCCGAGACGAGGTTCTGGGGAAAGAGTTTGGAGAAAGGGATCCGCGAAAGCAGTTCCTGGGAATCGGTTTTGGTGAAGGGCAGTTGCATAAGCGATTTTTAGTAAGCGGTCCTTGGGAAAGGGGTATGCGGGAGCGCTTCTGGGTAACCGATTCTCTATGGAAGCGGTCTTCGGGCAAACGGCCTCTGGAGGAGCTCCGGGGAAGCGGTCCTGCAGGGGGAACGGTCCTCCATAGAAACGGTCCCTGGGAACGGGGAATGTCTGCATTGGAGGATGCCGATGGGCAGACGGAATATGAGCTTAGCAGCACACGTTCCCATTGAAGCTTCCTGCGAACCCTATGGAGGAGGAAACTGGGGATGATGAGGAATAGGATGAGGGACATGTGGCATGATGAGGATGATGAGCGAGACCAACATCAGTAGGAGGAAGCTAGTGAGGAGGATGGGGGAGGAAGACGGCGACGATGACGTGAAGGAGGATGACGATGATGAGGACGAGGAGGATGGATGATGATGATGATGATGATGATGATGATGATGATGATGATGATGATGATGATGATGATGATGATGATGATGATGATGATGATGATGATGATGATGATGATGATGATGATGCTGATGATGATGATGATGAATGGTGATGATGCTGATGCTGATGCTGATGACGACGCTGGATGCTGATGATGGTGATGATGCTGGGGAGGCGATGATGCTGGATATGTGATGATGCTGGATGATGATGATGAATGATGATGATGATGCGTGTGATATGATGATGATGATGTGATGATGATGATTATGATGATGACGATGATGATGATGATGATGATGATGATGATGATGATGATGATATATGATGATTATGATGATGATGATGATGATGAATGAGGATGATGATGAGATGATGATGATGATGATGATGATGATGATGATGATGATGATGATGATGATGATGATGATGATGATGATGATGATGATGCTGATGCTGATGCTGATGCTGAGGCTGACGCCTGATGCCTGATGATGATGATGATGATGATGATGATGATGATGATGATGAGGAGGAGGAGGAGGAGGAGGAGGAGGAGGAGGAGGAGGAGGAGGAGGAGAAGAAGGAGCTACGACGACAGGAGTCAACCATTGGGGACTTCGCGGACCTTTGAGCAGTTTCTGGGCCCTATTCGGGCCACTCGTAGAGCTTTCGGGTCCCTGCTGGGGTTTGCTTTGGGTACGCTTTTAGAGGGTTTTTGGTGCCATCCTGGGCGATCTCGATGCAGCGCTGAGGAGCCTCACTTACAGCGCGTCCGCCCCCTCCCCCCTCCCCCTCGACGCTCCTGTGGCGCTCGTGGGAGCAGTGTGGTGCCGTCTTTGAGCCTTTCCGGGCCACTCTCGTGGGGTCTTCTCACGCGTGGGAAGGCGGACAACCTGCGGATGGGAGGGAGGGATCGAGGGAGGGAGTGAGGGATGCGGAGGCGGAGGAGGAGGAGGAGGAGAAGGAGGAGGAGGAGGAGGACGACGACGACGACGAAGCGGCGGCAGGAGCACCAGGGAAGGATAGGAGAGGATGAGGATGAGGATGATGATGAGGAGGAGGAGGAGAGATATGGAGGAGGAGGAGGAGGAGGAGGAGGAGGAGGAGGAGGAGGAGGAGGAGGAGGATGAGGATGAGGAGGAGGAATGCTGATGATGATATGATGATTATGATGATGATGATGATGATGATGATGGTGGATGATGATGATGATGATAGATGATGATGATGATGATGATGATGATGATGACGAGGAACGATGATGATGATGATGATGATGATGATGATGATATGATGTGATGATGATGATGATGATGATGGATGATGATGATGATGATGATGATGATGATGATGATGATGATGATGAATGATGTGATGATGATGATGATGATGATGATGATGATGATGATGATGATGATGAGAGGAGGAGGAGAGGAGGAGGAGGAGGATGATATGTTGATGCTGATGTGATGCTGATGATGCTGATGATGCTGAGAGCTGATGCTGATGATGATGCTGATGATGATGATGTGATGATGAGATGATGATGATGATTGATGATGCTGAGGAGGAGGAGGATGAGGAGGAGGAGGAGGAGGAGGAGGAGGAGGAGGAGGATGAGGAGGAGGAGGGAGAGGAAGAGGGAGACGAAGCGAAGGATCCAAGATGCAGCAACGATGTCGCAATACAGCCTCCCATCTCCAGTCCGCGCCCCTATCATGCTCTGCAGGCACATTCTGTCACTGCGCGAAGCCCCCCCCCCTGAAGGCGAGCGCCCGTGCATGTGCTAGCAGTGCAGGCGGGAGCTCCGTCTGAAAGGAGCTGCCCTCCGTCTTTCGAGCCCTGCGGGATGTGACAGGGTGGGGCGGGGCCGACACGGCGGCGTCATGGAACTCAGAGCAGCGCCCAGCTGCAGTTCCGCTGTGGAGTGGGAGACGCCCCCCCATCCGGGCGGTGTTCTTGCTGGTCGTAGCCTGAAGCGGATGGGGCTCATGCGAGAGCCCCGGTCCTTGTCGCAGTTGCCCACTGTCTTCCTACGTGTGGTGTTGGGCTTCGAGGAAGTCTCGGGTGAGAGCCCCACTTAGAGAAGGAGCCGCCCTTCACTGGTGTAAAGGTCGGCATGTTTTCAAGACGAGCGCGTGCCGTGCCAAGGCGAGGGCCCCATTCCGGAGACGGCTCGCCCTCCGTCTGTGCAGCTGCCAGAGGTCCCCCCGCCTCCGCATCGTGAGCGTCGCGGTCAGCGTCCCAGGCAAGACGTCCAGACCGCCCCCACCGACACGCCTGGTGGTGCGACGGGGAGGAGCTCCTTGTGCAGACGAGGAGATGGAGCAAAGCATGGGCGAGCAAAGGTGCCCTTCAAGCAGGCCGTGTCCGTCATGACCCCTGCGCCCTTCGACCTCGCCCGGCGCTCCGCCTCCTCTCTTTCGCTGTTTCGGTCCTGCGCTCCCTGCCTCCGCCCCCCCGCCCCCCCTTGTCCTCCTGCTCCAACTCGCCCTCGCCCCCCTTCTGCTTCTCGTCCTTCCTGTCGTTCTGCTCCCTCCCTGCCCCCCTCCTCCTTGTCCTTGTCGTTGTCCTCCTCCTCGTCCTCCTCCTAACTGCCCTTTGCACATGCCCCTCTGAGCTTGGACTGCCGCGCTTTTGCTGCATTTCACGCCATGGCCTCGATGTCCGCTTTCACCTGTCCAGTGTTTCCACCTTTGCCACTGTTCCTCATTCGCTCCTCATGCCCTACCCTCCTCTCTCAGTCCTCTCCCTCCCTCCCTCAAAGCTGAACCACCCGCGGCTGATCGGAAGCCTCTGTACACTAACCTGTGGTGTAGTTTTTTGCCTTGACGCCGTGTCACGACGCGCGACCCAGGTTTCCCCGCTTTCTTGAACGCCGTGTCAAAAGAGGCAGGGGGGGCTCGAAATCGCGGGGGCGTTTCGGTGATGGCCTCCGCGCGAGACCACCAGTGATCACATGGCTGGGGCCAGATGTTTCGCACAGGTGTCGTGGCCGCTTCATTTTGTTTCAGCACATGCCCTGGACCCCCCTCGCCAGCGCACGTGCCTAGGGCCATTCTGTGCTAACCCCGCTCTTCCTGGCCCCCCTCTTCGGCGTACCCGACGAATTGCCTTCACCATTCTCTCTCCTCTTCCTTCGCGAGTGGGTACTTCTACTCGGGGTCATCTCTCCTCGCTTCGAGAGATCTGTGAGGCTATGCAGGTACAGTAAACACCACGCAAATCAAGCATGCAACGCGTCACACGGGCGCTTGCTTTGAGAACATCTCACCACACGTCGGAACCAGGGGGACCTCCCCCCAGACAGCCCGCGCGCCCAGATACACAAGGGGACTCCCTCCCCCCATTCCCCCCTCCCGCTCTAACCCCCTCCTTGCTCGCCGCCGGCAAGCGACGACGGCGGGCGCTGACAAACGGCAGGGTGAGGACGAGGACCGTCGTCGTCGTCGTCGTCGTCGTCGTCGTCGTCGTCGTCGTCGTCGTCGTTATCGTCGTCGTCGTTGTTATCGTCGTCGTCGTCGTCGTCGTCGTTCGTCGTCGTTGTTCAGCCAACAACCTTCTCCTCCCACCACCTCCTCCTCCTGCTCCTCCTCCTCCTGCTCCTCTTCGTCCTCCTCCTCCTCCTGCTCCTCTTCCTCCTCCTCCTCCTCCTCCTCCTGCTGCTCATCCCTCCTCCGCCTCCTCCTCCTCCCTCCTCTTCCTCCCCTCCCCTCCGACCCTTACCCCTCCTCCTCCTCCTCCTCCTCCTCTCCTCCTCCTCCTGACTCCTCCTGCTCCTCCTTCTTCCTGCTGACTGCTGTGCTGCTGCTTGCTGTGCTGCTGCTCCTCCTCCTCCTCCTCCTCCTCCTCCCCACCTTCTCCACCTCCTTCCTCCTCCTGCCTGTCTCCTCCTCTTCCTCCTCCCTCTCGTCTCCTCCTCCTCCTCCTCCCTCCTCCTCTTCCTGCTCCTCCATCCTCCTCCTCTCCATCTCCCTCCTCGTCGTCTTCTTCGTCCTCGGCGTCTCTCATCCTCGCTCCCCCTCCCACTCCTTCCCTATACGCCCTTAGCTCATTTGGGGTTAGTCTGTTGTGTGCACGCGCTAGGGGCGTCTTTCCGTTTTTCTTGACATTTGGCGTTTCTGTTCGAGCCGATTATTCTCAGGATCGCGAGAAGCTTGCAGCTGCCCCGGGTACTTGTTGAAGGCCGGTGGGCCTGCCACGAGATAATCCCATGGCTGCTCCAAAGGCCTCCTTCCCTCCCCCTCCTACCCCCTCTCCTCCTTCCTCCTCTCCTCCTCCTCCTCCTTCCTCCTCCTACCTACCTCTTCCTTCTCCCTCCTTTCCTCCTCCTCCATCCTTCTCTCCTCCTCTGCCTCCTCCTCCTTCCTCCTCCTACCTCCTTCCCTCCTCTCCTTCTCCTCCTCCTCCTCCTCCTCCTCCTCCTCCCCCCCCTCCTCCCTGGGCTTCCCCGCTCCTCGGCGCAGGTACGCCGAGCACGTGGTGAACGCCACGCTCCTCGTCTGCTCCCTCTTCATGGCCTCCGGGTACGTGCTGTACAGCATGGTCGGGCTGATCGGAAGTTTTGGCCTCTCCTACCTGTACGACAGGCCCGGGGGGCTGACCTGTGGAGCAGGAGGGGCTGAAGAGCAGGAAAGAGCAGGAGGCAGCATGGGGCGAGGGGAGGATCGGATCGGCTCGGCAGGAGGGAGAGTCAAACTCCGCAGCGCCGTCTGGCCCCCCCCCTCCTTTTTTGGGGGGCCGGAAGGGTGGAGCCTCGAGTTCAAAAACAGTTGAGCAGTATTTCTATCCCGCCCGACCCGACGGACAAAAGCCACCCAGGCCCTAACGTTCACCTTGGCCGGGGGCTCAAGACTGGAGCCCCCCAATTCCCCTCCCCCGTCTGCTCCTCTCCGCCCAGCGTCTGCAGCAGCCTCGGGCAGAAAGGGACGCCCAGATGGTAGCATCCCTAGGCACGAAGCGGACAAGGGGGGAACGGGGAGTGGGGTTGACCCACTCGGGACTCGGGCAGGACCGGGGACTGGAGTAGGATCGACAACCTGCTCGTGAAAGATACACCCAGTATCTGGATACAGGTTTGGGCGGCGATGGAAATGAACCGCTTCTATAGCAGCATCCCTGGGTACGCACGCGCAGCATGAGAACAAGGATAGAACCCGATGAGCCTCATAGGAGGAGGGAGGGTGTAGGAGGCAGGATGGAAGGAGGGGGAGCAGGAGGAGCGAGATGAGATGGATGAGGAGCTGGAGCTGGGGCATGAGCAGGAACGGGAGCAGGAGCAGCAGCGGCAGCGGGCAACGGAGGAGCAGCAGCAGGAGCAGGATCAGGAGCAGCAGCAGGACGAGGAGATAGACAGAGGGTACGGAGGAGCGCCAGAAGAGTCTGGAGGAGGAGGAGGAGGCCGACGAGGCTGGAGGAGGAGGAGGCGGCGGAGCAGGAGGAGGAGGCTGCAGCCAGGCCGAGGGCACGAGAGGGCGACGACGCGACTCTCGCCAGGGACACCCTGGGAGGCAGAGCACCTCGGCGCACCCTGGCGGCCACCCGGCCGTCTTTGCTGTGGACACTTTGTCCCCCCTGTTCGTAGTGTGCTCGGCCTGCTGGATTCGTGGCCAGGGAGACAGGGGCAGAAGTAGCAGCATCAGGATCAGCAGCAGGATCAGCAGGCAGCAGCAGCAGCAGCAGCAGCAGCAGGATTATTATTATTATTATTATTATTATTATTATTATTATTATTATTATTATTATTATTATTATTATTATCATTATTATTATTGGTATTATTATTCGTATTATTATTATTATTATTATTATTATTATTATTATTATTGGGTCGTGGCCCGGCACGTATCCACTGGGACGCACCCCTGTGCGCTTCCTCTGGGTCGTGCCCCCGCACGTATCCACTGGGACGCACCCTGTGCGTTTCCTCTGGGTCGTGTTCGGCACGTATCCACTGGGACGCACCCCTGTGCGCTTCCTCTGGGTCCTGCCCCCGCACGTATCCACTGGGACGCACTCCTGTGCGCTTCCTCTGGGTCGTGTTCCGGCACGTATCCACTGGGACGCACTCTGTGCGCTTCCTCTGGGTCGTGTTTTGGCACGTATCCACTGGGACGCACTCCCGTGCGCGTCCTCTGGGTCGTGCTCTGGCACGTATCCACTGGGACGCACCCCGTGCGCTTCCTCTGGGTCGTGCTCCGGCACGTATCCATTGGGACGCTTCACAGTTCGATCTACATTCGTGCTTTTGAAGCAGGAAACTATGCCCTTTTTTTTAATTTTCGTGTTCGGACTCTGGGTTCCGACACGCCCTGGGGTGAGGTGTTCAGGCAGCTTTCGCTTGTGATATCCTCGCAACTCTGATCTCGGAAGTGCCGTGCCCCATGGTGGCCCGGCCACTTTCGCCTGAGACATCCCCGCAATTTTGAGTTCCGAAATGCCCTGAAGTGAAGTGTTCAAGCCACTGCCGCCTGAAACATCCTCGCAACGTTGACCTCGGATACGCCCTGCCACTTAGTGGTCTGGCCGCTTCCGCCTAAGGCATCTTCGAACTCTGACCTCGGAGGTGCCCTACCCCATGGTGTCCGGGCACTTTCGCCTGAGACATCTTGGCAACTCTGGGTTGCGAGATGCCTTGAGCTCAGGTGTTCAGGCCACTTTCACTTTAAACATCCTCGTAACTCTGGGTTCCGATATGCCCTGTGAGGACGATGGCGATGACTACGAATATGACGACGACGCTGATGACGATAACGAAGACGACGGCGATGACGACGATTGACGTCTTGATCGTTTCGGGGTTCTGAGACGCCCTGACCTGATCCGAGACATCCTCGAAACTCTGAACTCGGAGGTGCCCTGCCCCACGGTGACCCATGCACTTTCGTTTCAGACATCTTCGCAAATCTGGGTACCGACACGCCCTGGGGTGAGGCGTTCAGGCCGCTTTCGCGTGAGCTATCCTCGCAACTCTGACCTCGGAAGTGCCATGCCCCATGATGGCCCGGCCACTTTCACCTGAGACATCCTCGCAACTTTGGGTTCCGAGACGCCCTGAAGTGAAGTGTTCAGGCCGCTGGCGCCTGAGACATCCTCGCCACGTTGACTCGGATATGCCCTGCCCCTTAGTGGTCTGGCCGCTTCCGCCTGTGACATCCTCGAGGCTCCGATCTCAGATATGCCCTGAGCTCAGATGTTCAGGTCAATTACGCGTGAGACATCCTCCGTCCTCGGATCTCGGCGGTGCCCTGCCCCATGGTGGCCGGGCGCTATCGCCCGAGACATCTTGGCAACTCTGGGTTGCGATATGCCTTGAGCTCAGATGTTCAGGCCACTTTCATTTAGATACCCTCGCAACTCTGGGCTCCGATTTGCCCTGTGAGGACGATGGCGATGACTACGAATATGACGACGACGCTGATGACGATAACGAAGACGACGGCGATGACGACGATGATAATGGTGATGATGGTGATGATGATGATGACGACGACGATGACGGCGACGAACGATGACGACGATGACGTCCTCACAACTCTGGGTTCCGAGACGCCCTGACCTGATCCGAGACATCCTCGAAACTCTGAACTCGGAGGTGCCCTGCCCCACGGTGACCCATGCATTTTCGTTTCAGACATCTTCGCAAATCTGGGTACCGACACGCCCTGGGGTGAGGCGTTCAGGCCGCTTTCGCGTGAGCTATCCTCGCAACTCTGACCTCGGAAGTGCCCTGCCCCATGGTGGCCCGGCCACTTTCACCTGAGACATCCTCGCAACTTTGGGTTCTGAGACGCCCTGAAGTGAAGTGTTCAGGCCACTGGCGCCTGAGACATCCTCGCCACGTTGACTCGGATATGCCCTGCCCCTTAGTGGTCTGGCCGCTTCCGCCTGTGACATCCTCGAGGCTCCGATCTCAGATATGCCCTGAGCTCAGGTGTTCAGGTCAATTACGCGTGAGATATCCTCCGTCCTCGGATCTCGGCGGTGCCCTGCCCCATGGTGGCCGGGCGCTATCGCCCGAGACATCTTGGCAACTCTGGGTTGCGATATGCCTTGAGCTCAGATGTTCAGGCCACTTTCATTTAGATACCCTCGCAACTCTGGGCTCCGATATGCCCTGTGAGGACGATGGCGATGACTACGAATATGACGACGCTGATGACGATAACGAAGACGACGGCGATGACGACGATGATGATGGTGATGATGGTGATGATGATGACGACGACGATGACGGCGACGACTACGACGACGATGATGTTGATGACGATGATGATGCTAGTTGCGATGATGAGGATGATGCTGATGATGATGGTGGTGGTGGTGATGTTGATGTAGCCATGATTTGTTTTTCCCCACATCCAAAGTGGGGTTCTTGTTTTCTCTGGACACCCCGCGCAGGAACAGGAACACACACACACACCCACTCACACTCACTCACACTCTCTCATCATCAACCTCATCAGCATCATCGATGATGCTCTCTCACATGCTTAGTCACTCACATACTCATCATCATCACCACTCGCACTCTCTCACACGCTCACGAACATCATCATCATCATCATCGGCATCGGCATCATCCTCATTCAAAAAACATCATCGCCACCACCACTCACAATCAATCATCATCCTCTTCACCACTCATCTTCACCACCACTCATCATCCTCATCCTCATCATCGTTGAGTAAATTGTGAGGAAGTCTCAGGCGGGAGCCCCCTCCCTATGGGGCCCGCAGATCATGTTGGTAATCCGAGCGGGTCATCGGAAACCTGTAACTGTCGTCACTTTTGAGCTCCCCAGGCCTGAAAATGGAGGAAGTCGCAGGCGGGAGCCTCGTCTGTGAGTAAATTGTAAGGAAGTCTCAGGCGGGAGCCCCCTCCCTATGGGGCCCGCAGATCATTTTGGTAATCCGAGCGGGTCATCGGAACCCTGTAACTGTCGTCACTTTTGGGCTCGTCAAGCCTGAATTTGGAGGAAGTCTCTGGCGGGAGCCTCGTCTTTGAGTGAATTGTGAAGAAGTCTCAGGCGGGAGCCCCCTCCCTATGGGGCCCGCAGATCATGTTGTTAATCCGAGCGGGTCATCGGAACCCTGTAACTGTCGTCACTTTTGGGCTCCTCAAGCCTGAATATGGAGGAAGTCTCAGGCGGGAGCTCCCTCCCTAGGGGGCCCGCCGATATGTTGGGTGACCGTGCGGTGTCATCGGAATCCTGTATCTGTAGCCACTTTTGGGCCCTCCTCAACTGTAAATTTGGAGGAAGTTCAGGCGTCGAGCGGGAGCCTCGTCTCTGAGTGAATTGTGAGGAAGTCTCAGGCGGGAGCCCCCCCCCTATGGGGCCCGCAGATCATGTTGGTAATCCGAGCGGGTCTTCGGAATCCTGTAACTGTCGTCACTTTTGGGCTCCTCAAGCCTGAATTTGGAGGAAGTCTCAGGCGGGAGCCTCGTCTCTGAGTGAATTGTGAGGAAGTCTCAGGCGGGAGCCCCCTCCCAATGGGGCCCGCAGATCATGTTGGTAATCCGAGCGGGTCATCGGAACCCTGTAACTGTCGTCACTTTTGGGCTCCTCAAGCCTGAATATGGAGGAAGT